CCTGGCCCCAGGCCAGGGCCAGCAGCCATAGTGGCCAAAGTGCTGCAGGAGTTGGCTCTGTCAGGGCCTTTCAGCTGCTGCCCATCCCTGTGCCCCTCCAGCCCAGGCTGTCCCACGCTGTCCCTSCYCTGTCCCTCTGTYCCTGCAGGCTGTCRTTTTGCAGCACAAAAGGCAAAGATCCCGGGCTGGGACAAGAAGAATTTACTGGGAGCAGCAATGAGATAAGGAACCAACAGGAACAGCAACAATATTGATAACAGAAGGGACAAAACAAACAAAGAATTTACAGGGAAAACTCCCACAGCTCCAATGGGCTCCTCCTGATCATGTATTTTCTCCTGACCTGGAAGAACATCCTTCTTCCCACAGGAGAGAGAAAAGAGTCCCTTTCCCTGTCCCTGGCAATGACCTGAGGTGGGATCAGATATAAGGACAGGGGCATGGCCAGACCCTCATGTTCTTCCMTCCCAGCTCACATCAGGGGCAGAGAAAGGGTCAGATGTCTTCACAGCATGGATCACTGGGAATGTGGGTCACCAGGGCTCTTCCCAAACTGGGTCCTGTGATGGAGGATGAAGTTGGAGCAGCAGATGAAGCATTTTGAGCAGTCAGGGCACTCGCAGGACTCCCTTTACCGGTGCCTCCATTGGTGTCGGGCCAAGGTAGAGCTGTCTGAGAAGCTCTTCCCACACTGGAGACACTTGTAGGGCCTCTCCCCAGTGTGGATGCACCGGTGCCTGATGAGGTGAAACTTGTACTTGAAGCTCTTCCCGCATTCAGGGCAGCGGAAGGGCCTCTCATCCCTGTGACTCTGCTGGTGCCTGAGGAGATCTGAGCTGGTCGGAAACCTCCTCCCACACTGAGAACACAAGTAGGGCCTCTCTTCGGTGTGGATGCGCTGGTGGCGGATGAGGTGGGAGCTCGAGCTGAAGCTCTTATCACATTCCCCACACTTGTAGGGCCTTTCTCCAGTGTGGATGCGCTGGTGCCTGACAAGGGTGATGTAGTGCTTGAAGCCCTTCCCACAGTCAGGGCAGAGGAAGGGCCTCTCCTCCCTGTGAATTTGTTGATGGCTGAGGAGTTGGGAGCTCTGTGAAAACTTCGTCCCACATTCCCCACACTCGTAGGGCCGTTCCCCAGTGTGGGTCCGCTGATGATGAATCAGGGTGGAGCGCCACCCGAAGCTCTTCCCACACTCCAAGCACTTGTAGGGTTTCTCCCTGCCATCAAGCTCCTCAAGGACCCCCAGCTCTAAGTCCCAGCTGAAGCTCTGGGTACCTTCCTGGCACAGGGTGGGTCTTTCCCCCTCAGAGAACCCTGGGTTTGGTATGCTGCCCCTCCTTGTGTGGAAACTCTCTGACTTTTCCTCCTCGTTGGATTCCTGTGCTGTGGAGACACTGAAAACAGCCTCCTCCAAGAGGTTCTGCAGGGGGTATGTATACTCCCTGCTCTCCAACCTCAGCTCATTTTCTGGGGCAGGAATTACAAGGAGAGGATGGGATTCGCCTCGGTGCCAGAGGGAAGAGGAAGGAAATCCGCTCCAATCCATCCCCAGCAGGACGGTGTCGGCAGCGGGGTTGTCCTGCAGCCAGG